AAGTTACTAGGCTGAGACATTTTATTTTGATAAAGGGAAATTGTATGAATTGTATGAACACAAGACATGAAGATGTGCATACTAAGAATACTTTTCTGAAGGAGAAACATAATTGAGATTTTATGTAACGTTCTATGGATTATGACATTTGGGGAAATGCTATAAAATATGTCCAGCATATCTCCATTTTTTACAGAACATGGGCTAAATTCCTAAAGCTTGACAACAAACGCTCAAGAGTGAAGAAAGGTACTTCAAAGGCAGTGTAAAGCTGAGTGAAACGCACCTAGCTTTGGGCATCCTACACCTATCTGGGCTGCACAGCTGACATTACCCAGAGCAGCGTAATAAGTGCTCTATAATCGCTTTCAAAGGGGACCGAAAGAACAAAATAATGGCAGTCATAAGCTGCCAGCGTCCCTTCTTGAACAGGAGCCATCCTCTGACCTCAGTGTAGTTGTTTACAGGTGAGGCAGTTTGGAGCTGAAAGCTGCACTAGTGTTTGGGCACCTCTCCTGTAGCCAGTCTGTCTCTAGTCACCTCCCAAAGGCTTATGTCTCTCTTCTGCCTTAAGGTGGGATGAGCTGTCCTCCAACAGCTTTGAATTTACAACTAACTTTACTTGCCCAAAAGTTAGTGGTGCTGAATCTTCCACTCCTTTACTTTCTGGCCACTGATGCAGAAAATGAATACAGCAATGACTATGCCCTCTCGGGGTATACTTCGGGTATACTTTGCTGCTATCTTTGCTGGCCAAGAGCAGCTCTGTGCTCAGACTAGACTGTGGGGCAGACTGGAGAGTTGCAGTATGAATTGCTTGAACTTCAGTTCTCATTTTGAACTCTGGATTTTGAATGGTAGTCATAAATTATGTAACTCAGCACCTGTGAAAACTAGGCCACCATTCATTTTTCACCTTGAGTCTTGCATTACGATGACAGTCAGATGTGCTTTTTTTACCCAGCTGAAACACTACTGTGCTGTAATATGAATAGGCAGACTGTCAACTTTAGGCACCCATGTTAAGTTCTGCCATGGCTGAAAGGCGGGTCCTTAGCCTCAGCAGAATGATTTCGATCCCTATATGATCACCCAGAGCTTAAACTACCTTCTGTGCAGTCAGTGGAAGATCTAAGCACTTCTGTGGGCTTCCAAGAAACCAGTCAAAGGGTCTAGATTAGGAATCACTTTACTGTTGAGTATGTTAGGAGCACCTCTGTAGGCCTGTTCATGGTGCCTGCACATATACTTATTCGACGCTAGATTATGGTTGCTAGCGTCTGGCAGTTCCCAGAAAACAAATTAAAGAGGAGAATATAAAATCCTTCCTATTTTGTTGAACAGGCACAGAATTTAGTAAAATTGAAAGTGTGGAGCTATGGTCAGAACAATGTTACAGGTTTACTGAAGCCAAAGTATGTTGCTAAACAGAAAACGCTTCTAAGAAATGACACGTGATATTTGCAAAAATAATAAATCAAGCCTTGTGAATAAGTTTTGCACAGAGCCATATGAAATGCTGCTGTGAACTCGTAAATTTTTTGTCAGTGACGTGCAGCGTTTCAGAACGGGGTAATTTTTAGCCGATTCATTTGGGAGAGTCATAAATGACTGGAGTTTGTAAAAAAAATGCATGCACACTGGGACAAACTGGGAAATATCAGCTTGGGCCATCATCGAGACAGGATTCCCAAGCTGCCCAAGCAACCAAATATATTGTCTGAAGGCGGTGCTTTGAGTTGCTCTGTTTTAACTAGCGGTAGAGGCTCCCGGAGAGAAAAGGATCCAAGAGTGCTAGAGCTAGGGGGGGCCGGTGAGGTTGGCGGGGCTGGGGCAGAGCAGCTGCTGCCCAGAGCTGCCTCTGGGGCTTGTGCACAAATAAACATCCACTGGAAAAATTCCTCAGCACAAGAACTTTGATTTCAGTGAGTATTTAAGCTGGAATTTTCTCCAAATTCTCACTATGCGTTTCTCAAACTTTTTCCCAAGTCGGCTCAGTATTATAAAGAAATGTGAATGTTTCCCGTATGAGTCAAATGAGGTTCATAGCTTTTCCTCAAAAGTTTTGTTGACATGTGGGACTGAGTACCTGCTCAGTACTGAGATAAATTCGGGTGGGAAATTGTTATCGGTGGAAAACTTAGAAAGAAAAAAAGGCGATTTATTAAGAGCCATATTGTGGTTTGACGCTGGCTTAAATTTAAAAGAATTTTCCAATGTCTGTCTAAAAATTTTGCCAATTTTTTATCCACATGTGAGCAACATGGAAAACAACACAGATTGCACCAGTCTGTTCTCCAAATGGTTCTGCAACGATATACTGCATTAAAGAAGCCCTTTTATTAATGACACTGTACTTGGCAAAGGACCCAGGAGCTGTATCAGTGAGAGAATCTTTTAGAAACATGTTTATTTTAGACTTTCAGTTTGGAGTCTTCTGTTTCACTGGGGGTTACATGGCTGTAGCTCTTGTGACCTTGGCAGAACTATTACTAATTTACGCCAGCGTAACTGGGTAGAATCAAACCCAAGAGAGCCACTGGAAATATCACTAGTGTAAAAAATCTGTATTTTTAGCCTGGCATTTAGAAATGAGCGGGGACATTTCAGCACTGGGAGAGGTTACTGGAGAGGCTAATCAAGCATAACGCCTGGAAAATTAGTTGAGTGAAACACTTAGCACCTTTGGAGATGGGCTTTTAGGTAGTTTTAGACCTAACAGACTAATTACATCATTTATTTTAGCTAATCACATCTTTGGGTAGGGATCCAAACATCTGTTAGGCAGGACAGATGGAGAGACATATGTATTTTATGTATAAGATAGCTTTTAAAGAGCGCAAGAAAAAAGCACTTGTATCATCATGGTAGGCGTGACTTACAATAATAGCATGGCAGGGGAGATTCCAAAGGTTTACTACAGAGAATTTCATTTTTACAATGTAAAAATTAAATTTTTTTAAGCTTGAACTAGGCTGTTTCATGTGTTAGATGAAGACATTATTAACTTGGCTGTATATCAGCTCTCTTCCTACACTTCGTTAAGCTGATGTAGCAAAGATAAAACCTCTAGCTCTTCACAGCTACAGCGGACGTTCCTCATAGACGTACCATTTCGGCAACAGTCAAAAAAGCAAGGATATTCTAGAGGGTAATCTGTAAACCAGAAGAGGTTCACTTCTCCCCTTTGCCACAGACACACAGGCTTAACCAAACCACTTAACTGTCTCTACCTCACTTTCTTCCTGTGCGGCAGTAAAAACTGCCCTTTGGCTGCTCTAAAGTTGTGTCAGGGGTAGTCTTAGTTCATGAATCACGGCAAGTATAAAAGGATCTTTGCTGCCTTTTCCTGTCAGATCCGTGCCAGCTGTGAACCCACTGCACCATAAGATTAAGGTCTTTATAAGGAAATAAACAATGCCACAACTTTATTTTTCAGTTCCTGTCCAAAAATGGTTTTCAAACTAACGACCTTTAGATTTTAAATACTCTATTAACATTTGAGGCCATGATTTTACAAGTTGTATCTCATCAAAATAAACTATTATGGCCAAATATTAAATCTATGAAGACAGCAATGCAGCAATACTTATTCCTGAACATGTAGCTTAGTACAATCCTGTTCATTCTAAGATAATAGTCTTTTTAGATTTAAAGAACAAGAAATTTGAGGCCCTTTTAACTGATAAAGAATGTTTTTCATCTTCATTTATGATCTTTGTGAAAAAGAAACGTGCAAAAAATGTACCCCAGAACATTTGTGTGTGATTTTAATTCACATTTACTTGTAGAAAAGCTCCCCTAAGATGGTTTACTTGCAGTGTTTCTCGATGATGAAGCCGATGTGAATGTGAAGCAGCGTGAATATAGGCAGGAACACAGGACTGGGAAGAAATCACCTCTGTTACTGAAGGTTACGGAATCCCATCTTTTTTCTCTAGTTCATGTGTCACTTGTTTCATTTTACAAGCTCTTCCGTAGCAAGTAGAGACACTTACAAGCTGCGGTACACCTTCAGTGAGTCAAAGTCACTCCGTGCGGGCACTTGAGCTTTATGCAGGTGGACGGCAGGCTGATTAGGAAAAATAAACACCTCCCCTTAACACAGGTTTGCGGTTATTTCCTGTACCTTCAAGATGTACATGACATACTGGCATTTAGTGACCCTGTCCTCCTTCCTACGTTTCCACTCCAGGGCATTTGACGTTTGTAAGCCTTTGTGGTTGCACATCCGTCCCTGTTTCCTGCGTTTGTTGAGGTACCCCGGGCACTGCTGGGAACTCTTAATTAATTTCCAAAGGGTAGCGCTGCAGAGGCGGCGTTAGGAAAGGAGAGAGGATCAATTTCTTTCAGGCAAACAGATTCAGTAACTTGGCCTAAGCTCCTGTTGCAAAGCACAACTGCAATATTTACATGGCTCAGAAGTTTAAGGGGCACAGTTGATCCGTGATGGAGGTCATTCACTACTGATTTCTGCCGAAAAGATATTTCCCTTATTCTACGTGTAATAAAATGTTGGATCATTCCACTGCCTCCTCAGTAAACGAAATGGATCTTCTGCTTTGCCTTGAATGTCATGTTCGTTCATGGTGGTAAAAAAGATAACAATTCAACAGGAATGTCTTTTGATTCTGCCACTACACCTATTAGCTCAGCACTTTCCCTTAAAACAGTGATTGTGATGGAAGAAAGTTAGAGGCCAAGAAGATACGCACTGGTACTACACTGTTCATTCAGGCTGAAGAATAACAGGGTCTTTCTTCATTTCGACCGTTTACCAGTCTGCTTGGTGTATGCTTCTCCTGTCCAGGCTACCTAGTCCTTTCATGACACAAGTGCAGACACAGACAAGTACGTTGTATAATTCATAAACTCATTAAGCTCTGTCTTATTTTGATTTGTAATCCTCATTTTTCCGGAACCAACATTCAGACAGTTAGAAAAAAATATGGAAAAGGTTTTTAAATGCTTGCTGTTTAGTCTGCTCTTGTATTTTGCAGCTGACACTACTCTGGGAACAGATGATGTTTATGATGATAAAGGGTGCCAGTGCGATGTATCAGTAGAAGATCTGACCCCTGCTCTTAAAACTGTCATCCGAGCAATCAGGTGAGTGAATAAATATTTCCGTAATTAACATGTTAACTAATTACATATAAATTAATAACATGGTGATTATTTGAACTTCTTATATGGCTATATTTGTTACATCACTAGTGGGTTTGCTATTATAGTTTGTTTATCCTTCCTTTCCCTCAGTATTTTTATTAAGAATTGAAATTTTTAACAATTCTGTTGTCAACTTTCAGTGCCATAAAAATTGCCATATTATTTGACTCAAGAGAAAGAGAATAATGAATCCTGATTTCCAGTATATGTCCTATAATCCAAAAATACTGTACTGCGTTTTGATGTAGTTTTACCACATGCATATCACCTTTCCTGGAAAAGTTATTTCCTATTATTTAGTAAGTTTACATTTGTATTTCATTTCCATGTTCCTGACACTGTCGTATGACTTCTAATATGATGCAACTTTCTTCTGCAGAATAGTTCTGTTCTTCTGGTTGTGCAAAGCCTTACCTACCGCTATCCACTGAACTAAATAGAACCCCAATAATTTAAAGCTAATAGTTTCCCTCTCTTTCAAGAGAGTAGCAAACTGCATTGAAACTTATGAAATTAACCTGTATCGAAAGCTTAAACTTAGCATTCACTCTGCAGAGACTGCCAAGGCTCCTACCTTCCTGAATATTTTGAAGTGCAAATCTTGACAGGCAAAATTCCCACAGTAAAAGTGTAAATCAACAAGCAAAGAGACCTCTGTCACTCCCTCCCTGCTGACAGCAAGCTTGATGTTATTACTGGGTGCCATTCCACCGGCTATATATCGCAGTTGCATCGCTGACCTAGCACCTCTCTTAAGCAGGCAAACAAGCAGCGACCGCAAGGGATTTCAGCCGAAATCTGTGGGAAATATGAGGTTTTCCTGAAGGGAGACTCTTGCGTTAGTTCTCTCAGCACAATAGGAAGAACAAACTGTAGCTCGTTATCAAATAATTGCATACGGTGATGACTACAGGCTACTTGTATTTCCTTCCCCTTTTTCCACTGATTGTTAATGAAGTCAGATAGTGAGGCTGTTTCTAAAGTTTTCTACTAGGCAGGACAGCTTGACGGATCATTTGCCCATGTCCATTCCAACCACCTTTCCAATCTGCCTGGAAACGAGCCCAGGGGACGTGTCAGATGTTAGGTCCATATGCGCAGCCATTGCAGCTGACAACTCAAATGTCACCGCTGAGAACCATCTCTGGTCAACACAACAGTGCTTCAACAAGTGAAAGAAATCCTTCTACGCATTGGACACCCATCTACAATGCAGAACTCTTCCTTCAAATGGAAAATGCTCAAATTAGGAACATCAGCCTAACCTGTTGGCTCTGATACCAAAGATCCTTGTCTGTAACGTTGCAATTTTAAACAGACCGGTTGACTCTTGGCTCCAAGGTCACCTTGCTACTGTATTGGCAAGTGACACCAGTAGTCATCTCATTCCTAATACTGTCCAAGTTCCTCGAGACCTCCTACCTGACATTTTAATATTAACTAAATTCATGGAGCCTCTTTTCAAAGGCACTACTAGATCACTCAATGTATCACCTTAATCTCTTGCTGGCTTTCTTGGTAATGATCAGCTCAAATGCAAAGTCACTGAATTTGAAGGTCCTCATTGATAAACTTCCTCCACAGAGTCCTCCACAGAAATGTTCTAATAAGATCAATTTTGCAACAGTCTTTGTTTCAGATATGCACTACTGAACCGATAAGAGTCAACTTTTTAGATTACCTCCAACTTTTTCTCTGTGCGCCTGGCTTACCAAAGAACAATACATTTCATCACTGAGGTTGGAAATATGAGTTTTGCATCGCCACTTGCTATCAATTAGCAGTGAACGTCTCCCATCTCTCCCTCCAAATGCAATGGTGTGCTTCGCCAGACTGTAATCAGCATACACAACGTGCTTCAGAAACATACCTCTGTTTGAGGTCTGTAAAGTAGTGATATGCAGTAACCCCCAAACTTTTGTTAACAGCTCTACCTTTACCTCTCAGATTTGAGACTGATAGTTCGTTTCCTGAGATAGCTGATACTCCTCTTGCTTTGGTGTCTGTTACCTGACTACACACTGAGATCTATGCAAGCATCTGAAGAAGGATCTGGGACAGTATATAGTAACTGTAGATTTTCAAGATGATAACATCTGTCTGTATGGAAACTGTGTCCTCTGTCCCTTGTTTTGAAGTTTGTTTTTAGCAAGGACTTTGAATTGCAAAGGAATTGGGGGATGGTTGAGGCTGCTCTTCCTTGCATGCTGATGTACAGGAGGAGTTGGAGACAGAAGGTACCTGAACAGCTTCAAGAGTCACCATTCAAGAGACCCAAAACATGTGAAAAGCACACACGGTTGAATCCATTCTGGCTACATCACCTTGAAAACTGCACTACGGGAAACTAATTATTTTTTTCCTGCTCAGAATGGAGTCCCAACTGTTTTACAATGATACAAATCTTCCTTCTGCTTGGGGGGAAAAATAAAATTAGCAAAATTAATCCATGCCTGTGGCTTACAGAGGCAAGACCTCTCACAGTTTTGGCATCAGAAAGAACTATTTTTCTCTGAAAGAAGCTAGAGCGTAGGCCCATTTCTCTCAGGCTGGACAGCCTGGACATAGCACAAGACGAACATCGGGTTAGTTGCAGTGTTTCATTTCTGTAATTTCAGTGAGGGACTTCAGTTTTGACTTTATTTACTTAAATTTTTCCTTAAATTTTTCCTGAACCTTTATGTTCAAAACAGCTTTTTGATTTTAAACAAACAAACCCCTAAGCTTTCATTCTGAAATGATCAGAAGGAGAAATGGAGAAAATAGCCCTTTCCTGCAAATCATTGCAATTTTCTTAATATATTGGTACTTGCCAAGAGTCAAGCTCCCAACCACTGCTGCAGCAGAACAGTCCAGTTATTGTTTGATACTAACTCAGGTTGGTATCAAAGAGCTGTTCACAAAGCTCTTGCTAGCAGTGTAGCAAGAGCAGAAAACATACAACAAATATTCCAAAAGCTTATTGTATATTGAGCCTTTGGGTCAGCAGCTTTTGCAGTACTAGCCAGCTGGCCCTGGTCTTGTTATGAACAAAAAGCTCTTAATATCCTGCAGTCAGAGTTCCTGAAGACTAACAAAAAATATCGCATTCTTCAGCTCTCTCTGTTAGTTTGCAATTATGAAGGTATATAAAAGAGACTAAAAAGAAGGGTACCTTGTTTTCACATATTATCTCTGATCATTTTTGATAGCAAGAAGCACTAAATTCTGTAATATTCACCACAATGGAAATGATGGAATTATTTCATTACTTATGGAATATAAAATTAGATTTGAGAAGCATAAGTAAATATGCAACAGGGAATAACTGCAATGGCAGCAAGATGAACTTGCTGACCTAAGAAGCCTTTTCTATCTTTAACTCTAGTGATTGCGTAGATGTATTTTCATTTGTTGTTAATAAGAAATAATAATAATGTAGCTAAATATAATGAAACCCCAGAATTCCTGAGCCGATAAGTTATGCAGTAATATAGTCATACATATTTAATAGCCAAAAAAGGAAGATATAATTTACTATTTATGTCCAGCTTCGTTTTCTTTGAAATCTGTTTCTGCTATGCTATAAAATGTATTTTTCTTTTATCAGCCGGTATGAATTTGTTCTACAGTGCTGTCTCAGAATCCTCTGTTTGTTTTAAATCACACTAAAATTGGGCATTTCCCACCCAGATGGTCTTTAGTGTTTAGGCAAGGCTATTATTTGATGTGTCTTTGGCTACTACAGCACTGCATAGTAGCTCCTTCTCCTGCCCTCCCGGCACAGTAAGTGAGCAAACCAGCTGTGGGTACCTCCTCTAGCTGTGGGGAAACAACACATGAAGCCCTTTGATATGACACTGTTGGATATGATACTTAATTCAGTACAAAATAATTTGCTTCTGCCCTCCTCTGGACGCAGACTACTATTTATAGCTAATTGGTACTAGAAAATTGCTTTACACTTGAGACGTGGGTACGTGTAGAACACAGTATATCTTCTATCACATTATATTTGAGTTATTAAACATGATCCTGATACATGGCATACAGCGATATAAGACTATAAATATTGTTTTAAAAAATCTTGGGGACTAAACAGTTTTGTTCTTTTCGGTTAGTTTATACTTTACGTTTTTCTGTGTGGTCAGCACTAGCAGGTAGGTATTGCTAGTGGCGACTCAGTTTAGTTTATGATGAGTCTTTTTTGCCCCCTTGTGGTATAAGTAGGAAAGACATGCCAGGCTGTATTTTGTGCGCTGTACACTTAATCTTGGTGTTAAGAACTAGTATTTCGGATACACGGGACAGGAATACCTTGGTGCTCATTTTCTGAATATTCTCTACATAGTTGTCATAATCTTTCATGATGGGTGTTCAGACCTATTAAGCTCAATTACATAGATATTTCAAGATACAGAAAGAAGACTGAGCGTTTGAAAGTAAGTAACTATGAAGAATAAACAAAATTTATTATCTACACAGCAGTTACTAGGCTCCATCACCGAAAGAATTCAGTTCTGGTGTTTTCAGGTAACTTACAGGCTTTTATAATGTTAGTCTTTTTTAATTCTTCGTTTTTGCACAGTTTTACATTAACTTTTTACATCTGAAGCAAAAAGAGGTAAGCAACAAGGGTCTGTTCCAAACCCCACTGAAGTTAATTACGATGGGATCATATGAGCTAATCCGTGACACAGAAGGAGTGCAGTTACACCTCACTGATATAGCCAGGCCACTTTCAGCCCTGTGCTTGTCTTCTGAACAGCGTTACGAACAAACTACCCGGACAATCAAAACCCTGTTATAAAGCTGCAGAACAACAAGAAAGATTTTTGTGCATGCTGATTAAGAAGTTCATATGGCTGATAAGCTTATGATAAAAGTAAGGTTTGTGTCTCATCTCTTTCAAAAGCACCTGGCTGTGGGAAATTCATTTACGCTACTCATGCTCTAGCTCCCCTTTTCTAATTGAGTTTCATGTTGTTACTTTATCAAGAGCATGGAATAAAAAATTGTGACCACCAAAATAGAGAAAACAATAATTAAGCAACAATACTTTCTTGTATGTCAACTACATTCATTTATTCTTCATAACCTGACTATAAAGAACTAGGTTCCCAGGAGACTGTCTGTGCTACCAGACTATTACAAACAGAACATCTTGGCATCATTGCTAGTGACAGCTAAAAGAAAAAAAAATCCATATCCCAGCCTCAGAGGCCTTTGGATTACAGAAGACACCGAAAGCTGTTAGTCTGTAGAACTGTCTCACAAAGGAGAAGAGGAAAGTCTATCATTTGGCGTATTTAAAACTTCATGGAGATAGGTCCTGAACTGTCAAGGTGATGGACTATTCCTAACAGGCTTTTTCCATTTTTATTTCTATATTCAAAGTCGTATTTCAAGCTCTATGCCAGTGACAAGCATTTGCATTTTACGCTGGAAGTTGACAGAATGAGACAAGTTAACAACCTAAATACCCTGGCAAAAGGCTGTTACTATTTGGAAGAACATTTGTATGCAATACAGAACTCTACTAGAGGATCAGTATACACTATTAATCTGACTCTACATAACTATTATCATAATGTCCCAACTATACAAAGTATGGTTTTCCTGACATTCCGCTGAAACACTGCTAAGCTACCTTTATCATAGAGTGAGAACCATGTTCTGGGTTTTTTATTTTCATGCATTGTCTTACAGCTGCAAAATGCATAGTATAATAAACACTGCATAGATGGAAATATTAGCATGAAATACTGGCATTTGGAACAGACTAGCAATTTATATCTCTGCTTTTTTTAACTACAATAGATAGCAGATGTTAGCAATTTGTGCCTGATGGGTGTTCATAATCTCTGTAACACAATCAAGAATGGCCCCCGTACCTGCTCTCTCAAAGCGCTGAACCTTCCCTACTTCTCACTTAAACCAAGGAGAATCGCAGCTGTTACTGTCTGACTTTGAAAATCTGGTCACTGTCATTTGCCTTCAAAATCTGTGACCTCTGTCACTTCCAATTTGTGATTTAATATCAAGCTTTAAATTCTAAAAAAAAAAAAAGCTTCTCGCTGGACATCACATTTCCACATAAACGTCACAGAAAACTTGTACAAGTCTCACATAAAAAACATACGCCATTCATCAATTTTGGATATTTACTATAATATCGTTCCTACTATTTTGCAGTAAAATTCAAGACAAAAAAATCACCAATTCTAATTAAACAGTCATTCTCATTGACACACTCAATATGGGACACACATGAAAACTTCTCTTTAGATTGCAAAGTTTGATCTTAAATCGGCAAAATAAATAAATTAAAAAGAAAATATAGGCCTGAATGTTAATTAACAAATAAAAATTGATGAAAAATGAATTGGGAATTCTACAAAATGGAAAGTGAAGAGCTTAAAATGAGTACCAGAAAAAGAATAATATTATTTATGTGCACGTAATCAATTTGCTAGACGGATCTACCTGCCTTTTTAAAGTATAGGGATTTTGATTTTGATTTTGATTGCTGGAAACAGAATCAAGGGATATACACTGCATGCAAAACTATTAACTAGAGACAAAACAAAGTTTCCTTAAAATAATAAAACTACTTTTTTTCATATACATACATTTATCTTTATGGGCAGGTCTGTAAATAACCTATTAGGCTTTATCACTGTAGTAATTCAGAACTAGAAAACCAGAAATACAAAATACGAGGGGCATTTACTAACCAAAAACACAGCTTTCCGAGGAAGCAAATCAGCAACAAAGAAAGGGTGCATTGATTCCAAGCTTGAGAATAACATGAGAAAGCATGTGATACGAATGTTTCGGTTTAGAAAGTAGCTTAAGCACAGAGGTAACTTAAAGGATAGTCTGACTCAGGGGGGCTAATCACAGGCTTTAGTTAGTTACGTACGTCAGGACCTTTCCAATCAGGCACTGAACGTGAAAAAGCAAGACAGGCATATAGTGATAAATTAAACATGCTCCGCGTTCTCAAAATCATGTTATTTGCTCTCTCTTACATAACAGTCCAAAGGGATAGCTGCAATGCATTTGTACGTAAAAAAAAAAAGAAAAAAATTTGTAAAAGGACTATTTCACTTGTATAAGTTATTCCTCTTCTGAAGAAAACATCTTTGATGTTAAAAGATATTTTAATTTTGATCAAAAAGCAGTCGCTATTTTGACGTTTGAATCTATTGCATTGTTTGGCACCTGTTTTGAAGATTAATCTGGGAAATGCTTTTTCCCTGCAGAATTATGAAATTTCACGTTGCAAAGAGAAAGTTTAAGGAAACACTTCGCCCATATGACGTCAAAGATGTCATTGAACAGTACTCAGCAGGTCACCTAGATATGTTATGCAGGATTAAAAGCCTTCAGTCACGGTAAGGAAAGAATCCTCTTTGGTCTGCTCTGCATAAGCATCCTGTTATGTCATTCACTGCATGATGAATATTGGTAACATTTAACGTTTCTGTGTTATATTTGGGTACAAATTCCTATCCATGCTTCAACCAAGCCTCGCTTTCAGCTGAGCCAGAAATTAAATTGTGGGTGAAAACAAGCAAAAAAACATGCATCTAAGTTGTCCCCAGAAAACAAAAGTCTGAACATAGACTACAGAAAAAGTAATCCTTTATCTATGAAATTCATTCATAAACAAGGAATTTAGCCAGGAAGGTTGCCAAAAGGCTGAGGTCAACATTGACAATGGACGTGTCTGTTCCCCCCAACATCAGCTAACGGAGAGGCCACCTCGCCTGCCCTCGGTAAATCTAGCCGTGGCTTTGCCAGACAGTGGCTCAGTTCTGGCCCCGGATCAGTGCCAATGTATAAAAATGCTGTCTGTGAGCTGTGGTTGGGACCTTGGGAAAATTTCAGAGGTGCTGGAACAAACCCTGCATTTCCCCTGCTTCTCCCACTCTGCCCTTTATCAATACTGTCTGGATGCTGAATGTCTCACCTACTTTTAGAGATGAAAAATATTTTTAAAATTCTTCCGCTCTACAAGGAAACAGATGAGAAGATCCATGGGAAACACGGGATGGAAAAAAACCCCTCTTTAAAGCTTTTTCTTAAATTCTCTTTCTTGGTTCATGCCATTAGTTTGAAATGCGCCACTTTGATATTATTCCATTATGCCAGGTCTTTGTGTTCAGTCAGCAGATGCTGTGTCTGCACCAAGACCTGGCAACTCCCTGCAACATGCCTGGTGTCTTCTCCAGTGACTGTCCAGACTGAGGGTTTAGTCAGCGTGTGATGGTCCTAAATGCCTAATCTTCCTTTCAACGGAAAGCATGGGGCCAGCCTGCACCCATGGACGCAGCCTGGCCGCGTCACAGCCCTGAGCCCAGAGCCCAGAGCCCAGGAGACCTTGGTGGCTGCTGAGGACTGGTGCCTACAGGTGGCCGAGCCGGGACATGAGCGGGACGAAAGTAGGGACCCCAAATAGGAACAACCAGGCTTCCAAACCCAGAGGGACTTTGCACTATCTCAGGATGACTTGTTAAATAAACTGCCATACTAGCTGTATGTTTTTAAATGTTTCTCTAGAGGCAGGGAATCTAAGTTAGCTAAATCCTCTAAACACTTGATCACAATTGCCTATTGGAACTGTAACGAATGCAACCAGCAGTGTTTTCAGGCTCAAACTTACTAGTTTTTGATTGAAGAGTTCCCCACAAATTTGGATTTATTACCTCATTTATCTGTTTAACACAGTTCACTCGTATGAGCGGATATAACTTTATTTTCAAATAATTTCCTGCTTGATAATCTCCAAATGCTCAAATATCACTCCGCGTTTTTCATAATTTTTTAATAAAATTAAGTTTATACTCTTCCTCAGGTGCTCTTCTGATGTAGTTCTGATGTAGTTCTGATGTACTATGATTATAATTTCTAAAGTATATATACGTAGTGAACACTTTCATAGTACCGCAGTTTTCAGAAATCATAACAGGCTATAGTTCTCTTACAGTGTCGACCAAATTCTTGGAAAAGGACAAATCACAGCAGATAAAAGAAGCAGAGAAAAGAATACTGCAGAGAATGAGACCGCCGATGACCTTAGTATGTTAGGGCGTGTAGTCAAGGTGGAGAAGCAGGTAATTACCTTTTGTCTTGTTCTGCTGCTTATATTTTTTGTGCATTTTGCTGACAGTTTCAAATGTTGAACAGGCAAACTTTTTTTTTTTTTTTTAATATCTGCACCATTTATATGCTGAAATAAAACATATACAAATTGTTTTACCTTAACTGTGTTTTAGGTACAGAAATGTAAGAAAGGAAAAATTACAAGTTACTAAATTTTCCCTCCGTTTTAGCTTGAAAAATCTATAGCTTCAAGGCTTTCAAAACGTTATTTTTCAAGAGTCGTTAGCTTCCATTTATAGAAAAAGAATTATCTGATTAAGTGCCTAGCTTTTTTTCTCTTCAGCAGTTACATTTTCTCTTTGCTTGGGTTCCAAATATTTTAAATTAATATTTTGCATTAATGTTAACCTTTTCCTCTCCACCTGTAGGTACAATCCATTGAGTCAAAACTGGACTGTCTGTTAGATATTTATCAACAAGTTTTACGAAAAGGATCTGCGTCAGCGCTCACTTTGGCTTCACTTCAAATGCCAGCTTTTGACTGTGAGCAGACTTCTGATTATCAAAGTCCAGCAGACAGCAAAGATTTGTCTAATTCTGCACAAATTAGTGGATGTGTATCCAGATCAGCTAGTGCCAATCTGCCTCGTGGCCTACAGCTTATACTGACACCAAATGAATTTAGCACTCAGGCTTACTATGCTTTTAGTCCAGCTATGCATAGTCAAGCGACGCAAGTGCCAAATGATGGACCTACAACAGTTAGTAATGCATCAAACCAAATAAACCAGGCATCTAAGCCAGCAACTCCCACAACATTACAGATACCACCTTTCTCATCAGTGAAGCATATCAATAGGCCTGAACCCGTTCATATAATTCCTGTAACCACACAGGAAAATATTTCTGATGTCACCGCTTGCCTTGTTGCGTCAAAGGATAACGGACAAGTTGCACAGCCCGGTGCAGCAAAGGATCTCACATGGCGAAAAAGTTTCGATACAGAGGGAGAACCTTTGCTCTCAGTTAAACCTGTGGTGCAAATGGATTTAGGGAAATCTCTGTCTGTACAAAACCTTATACAGTCCACAGAAGAACTGAATGTACAGATTGCTGGTAGTGACTCCAGCGGTTCGAGAGGTAGCCAAGACATATACTCCAAATGGAGGGAGTCAAAATTATTTATAACTGACGAAGAGTTGGAAACAGAGGCAGGAACAGAGACTACTGAAGCCATCTCTCGCCCGTTAGTGGAAACAACTCTCTCTACTGACTCTCTAAGGACTGGAATATCAAGATCATCTCAAAGCATTTGCAAGCCAGGGGACGGTACAGAAGCACTCAGTCTGCTCCATGTCAAACTCAAATAACAGTTTGTGGGCTTTCTTCGTTGGCTGGGAAATTCCTCTAGTCATACATATCATAGCATGAACTATTTTGAAAGCCTTTTTAATAAGATAAAGTCACAGAAATCAGGATCAGTCTGAAAGGCAGTTGAATGAGCCCATATCTTCTAGTTGCATGAAAATGCATGTTTAAGCGATGGCTAAAATTCAAATTTATACCTACAGTACAGCAGCCTTTCATGTAGTACAGTAGGTTTAAATAATGAGTTATCAACAAAGCTAATGCTGCAGGATGTATCAAAAAGCAAAAGTCTGAGCATTTAGACCTAGTGCCGTTTCCACAGGGCAGAAGTAAAAATCCTAAGTTTTAAAGCACTTTGCTTCTGAACTAATTAAAATACATATATATATATATATATATATATATGTCCTGATTTAGATTATAGTTTATGTTTACAACAAAAAGAATTATCTACAGCTGCTAGCAAGGTACCAAGGAAACCAGTAATATGGGATTAGAAATGGCTGCCAGTTGCAAGATATACACATTAGTTCATCAGTAATCAGTTATTTTAACTCTGAAAAAAACAGAATGTTAATATCTGTCTAATTTTTGGTGATTTAGTGTTGTGGCAGAAGTACTTGACACACTACTTTCAGGTTGTTCTTTAAAATGAGAGCGTTCTTTTGCAACGAAAAGTTCATAATCTAAAGATGGGGGCTGGCCTCAGAAGTGGGTAATTTGGGCAACTGCACTAGAAATTCAGGGGAACCTCTCCTTCTTCCAGTCTTATTGAGGAGCCCTCGTGTGCATCTGAAATATTTAGGCAGCAGCGTGTCAGGGAGAGGAGCAGGCACTGCCTTTGACGTAGAAGCAATATTTCCTTCTGTGGAGATGTTGGCAGTTTTCCTCGTTGCCACAACCTGTTACCATGATAGCACTTTGTAAATCTGAGAAAGGAGGGAAAATGAGGAACTGCAATGCAATTCCTCTGAAATGCAGTAATGGAAAAGAGGATAGGGCAGAGAAGAGAGAAAGACAACACAATCAATGAATTAACAGAAAAAAAAAAAAAAGGAAAGAGTATGGATTTCAATGAGCAGGAAGAGAAATGATCCCAGAAAATAAAAGAAGGGAGGTAAAGATGGAAAAGATCTTTTAAATTCCAGCCTGTCAGTCACAGACACCAAGTGCTATTTCCAAAAAGGCCGTGTAGGCATTTGGAAATGGAAGTAGTGATAGGGAAAAACATCCTAACTGAACAAACTGAAGGCAATTTTTTTTTTTTTTAATAAAAGAGGAGGAGGAGAGAGGAAAAGAGTTCACACTCTTATAGTGCAACACTATCCCAACTGTAGTCATTTCTGATGAACTTTCCAAGAAAGGACCTTCAGACTCCTTCCTCCTGATACCCAAGTTTTAAAATTCAAAGCCTACACTAGACTGAGCATTGCTGCTTCATACATCCTCTTTCTTTCTTACGCTACCTACGTTTCCCCTGTGCTGAGATGCAGGAGCCGTGTCTGTGCCTACCTGCTCGTCCCCAGCAAGGCTTCACTGCTCGAAGAGCCCCTGGGGAGCCGAAAAAGGCTTTAGCTCTTCCCAACTGTACACGATTCCTGTTTGGTTTCTCCCCCCAGATTCATACCCTACCTGCACTGCAGGCTTGTTGCAGACAACCTGACTTGGGCTCAGCTTCCCTCTAGCGACAGGAGCGCCGAATGTAGGGGGGTGCCAGTGCCAGCTCACTCAGGGCAGTGTTTCCTCAAGGCCCACACCTGCTGGGAACTCACAGTATACATCAAAAACGTCACTCTAGTCTTAAATCATGGCTAAATGCTGTAGATTGTATTGTGAAGGACTTGATCTGTTTACTATGAAACCATTGTAATTTCTGCTTCCATATCTCTTTTACAGAAGTATTCCTGTATTCGATGTTACACGATAACCTTATTATGTGAAAGTACATGCAAACTGCGGAGTGTGTATTGCGTGCGGTTACGGGGGGCCATGGATGGTACGCTGCGCTCCGCAGCTGACGCCAGAGCAAAGCGCAGCTGTTAAATTCTGAAAGACACCTTAAAGCACAATTTCCTCACCACTAATTTGCCATATAATTTACCACATTCAGCCTGTGCTGTTTTCTTTAATGTGCAAGCTGATCATGCTAAAAAGCCTGATGACAAGTCATTTTGTGTGGTTAAACAGGGTTTTTTTTTTCCACATCTCAGTTCATTTAACTACTAACTTAGCTGAACACCTGCCCTTTATCCAGACAAATCGCTATATTTAAAGTATTATACAAAACTTAAAAACTTAAAAGTTTTGGGGCTTCTTTTTCTTTTTCCTAACAGTTTTTGGTGCCTTTCTTTCCTCTTATATGAAGCCTCCTGCTGGCCTAAGCATAAACCTGCATTTAGGCTCAGTGAAGGAGCAAGAGATGAGGCGCATGGTACCTATGTGTCACTAATGGAACTCACCTTCCCCCTCTCATTAGGTAGAAAAATAAAGGCATCGTGAATTGGACTCCAGCCTTCTACCTTCATCTGCATGAGTGGATCGTTACACCCCCATTGAGCCTGGAAGGAGTCAATGGGAGAAGTTAGTATTGGCTCTGACTTTACCAGAAGCAGGGCCTTGGGTTTTGCTGATAATTTATCTCACTGAACTTGGTATTTTTGCCTTAAATGACATGCTTGAGTCCTTCTAATTTTAAGTTAATTTATTTAATACAATTTTGTGCACAAAAAAAAAAAAAAAGAAGGAATTCTATAAATTATGTATGAAAATGTTAATGTCTTTACAAAAACCAGAAGATCATATCTTTTCAAGTTATGATTTAAAATCCTAATTTTTTTCTTTTACGCTTATCATTATTTTTGTAGCTGCAAGTCTTATCATATAGGAATTTGTTAACGTTATATTGCTAGCAAATAGAAAGAATAGTGCATATATGAAATTCTGGAGAGGAAGAATTGTTTGTTTGGGTTTTTTACGAGCTTTGGTCGTGTTTCCTCACGAAGAGTTTCCTGTTTCCATGCTCTCTAACTACAGTGTCGTGACTGTCAGTCATTCATTGGTTTCACAAAAGAAGGACCTGTCTGGCTTTTCAAGTCTTGTATGGAGCTGCTTAACAAATGCAAGCTCGTGATAGCTAATAGGAATTTTTCCTGAGCAGGGACAGAAGACAACATTTTGCTCTTATCTACAATCCTTTGGAGGATTGTTGAAGAGCGAATTGAACCTAAGTAAGAGCTTCAGGAATTAAGCCTTACCCAAATAACTGTTTTCTGATCAGCATGTTTCTTGTACCTGATTGAAGAGAAAACTGAAAAGAATAGTTTTGATGATGATTATTTGTTGAAAAATTTGTATTTGCTCCTGGCTTATATGATCTATACTTTTTATTTAAATATGAACATAGTGTTTTAGCCTAGGGTTCAAGATTGCAAAGATCATACACTTTTATTCACAGTGCCCACAGTTGTTGTATATGTTTTTTGAGACAATCCTACTTAAAGTGACTGCTCTCATTATAGTATGGTGATGAGTAATTCACTTGCTCTTCTGTGGTAAGTCAAATCATACTGAATTGCTGATGTATAGTAGAACACCTGATGTACAGTAGTGTCTCCACATTAGGACCTGCATTCCTTACTCAAGCAAAAATTCTACTGACTGCAGTAAGACTATTGCTTGAATGGGGAGCTCACGTTCAAATCCTTATTTTGTTGGGCATCTGTTTAAAGTGAAAATGGTAATATTCCAGTTATTTCCTGAGGAAACTTAATATTTAGCTGAATTTACCCATGTCACATTGACTATATAAAACATAACGCACAAAATACTAAGGTAAAAAGGGAAGAAGGGACATTTTTTAAAAAGCACAGAGAAAAGGAGAACAATCAGAAAAGAGGCGAAAGCAGGAAAAGAAAATGTAAGAGCAAAGGACCGAAAAAAGTGTTTAACCACCTGAGGCTAAATTCATCCTTGGATGGCTTCACTGACTTCAATGAATTGACTGCGCAGTTGGGTGAAGTTCAGCCTTCACTGGGATGATCAGGCTCAGTTCCACTAACCTTACCGGAACTGAACCCACCTATACCAGGAATGAACTTGCCTCTCTGGGCCAACTTTATCCTGACTCATATGTCATGCAATCCTTTTGGATTCACTAGGTTTGAATGAGATACAGGTCAGAAGAGAATTTGTCCCAGATATTTCTGCTTCACATTTTTTTCCAAGTGTGTTAATCAGCCTAATTCAAGTGGATTACAACATCACACAAAGTGCTGCCGCTGTCTAAAAAGGTTGATTGTTTTTTGAAATCAGAATTGTCCACTGCAGCGTCAGTGGAAGCATGTAATGTTTTCCTGTTCATTAATTTGGATGCAAATGTGGCCATTCATTCAGCTACACTTAGGACAATTCCAGACATATCCAATTATCATCTGCTATTGGAAGCATTTTAGACTTCTTTGAATGTTAAAAGCCAGTTTCATAACAGGTTCAGAAAGTATGAAGGCTGCTTCCACTGACACTGCAATGGCATTAGCCAGTACATTACAATGTTAATTGTAACTTCTTGACAAAGTTGAATCCATGTTGTTGTTAATAAAAACGATTTGAAAAGTACTTACCATGCTTACTGTTTTTTTCTCTGCATTTACAAATTGTGTGGTGTGGACATATACCAGGCAAAAATGTTTAAGGCTTGCTCATTTTCTTCTTTTGGAGTTTTGTAAATTTTTTATTACCTGGACCAAAATATCACAAAGGAAATGGATTAGAATAAAATGCGCACAAACCAGTCTGATAGGTTCAGTTTCTAATGACTGTTTACAGCAGAGTTTACTTGAACTTCAGATGCTTTAACTCCAGAGGTTCCAGCACCTCTATGAAAATTACTTTGGAAGTTATTATTAGCTTTCCTGTTAGAGAACGGGAATTTATACAGGATAGGAAATCAGGGGCCTGTGTGAGACTACCCAGGAGCAGGATTGCTAGGAGAATGAACCATCTCAATCCAACTTGAGCCACAGGTGAGGTCTTTTCCTCTGCACAGAGCCATGAACGTGGTTCTGCAATGCTGCTGCGCCAGAACAGCAGCTTTCTCACTTTGTGCAGTCCTACCATTGAAGACAAGCTTTAGTGTTTGACGACAGAGCATTAAATACGTAGAGCCCTCTTCTCTGATGAATTCACTGGCTCTTTGGAGGCATCAAAATCAGAACAAAATGCTTCCGTGTACAAGCACGGATGACCGCTACCTCTCCTACATACGTAATCTTAGATACCGAAATTTGGAGATGCAGTCTCTAGAAAGGCAGATTTTCTCTGTCGGCCATTTGTGTCCATAAGGCTACATGAATACAGCCAAGCTCTGCCTAACAAAAAGCACGGGATGGAGAAAAGGGCAATTTTTGTAAAACCAGGCAGTTCTGCTTCATCTATACATACAAGATTGTATGCACACAACCAATGCAACGTAAATTCCTTCCTTCCTCTTTAATTACTCTGCTGATCACAGCGGCCAGGCACAGATGGTAACGCTTTAAGACGCACCTATAGATACTTAGGTACTCAGCAGTCCTCTCGGAGGGCCTATAGGTACTCCTCTAGACTGCAGTGCAGGACTGTGCCTACAAGGCAAATTTTTAGCAGATTTTCAGTGTTAACTGAAGGCTTCTGACATCGAGTCGGCCTTAGCGCACCCAGCCACGTTGAAATCTTCATTACAGGATCATTAAAGCTTAATTCAAGATTAACTATTAACACCTCCCTGTAAAATTCGTACCACGATTTATCAGCGTGAGTAGCCCGGACAGCTCACAAAACTCGTCAGCGCTGCCGGCGCCCCCCAACCGCTCCGCGCTCCCCCCTTC